TTTCCAAAAGGATTCATCCCATCTGTTGCTAATCCAAGTCTAAGGTTTCTTGCATCACTACCAAAACTTGGAAATAGACGGTCAAAATTCTTCCATTGGGGAGAGTCGGATGGATGTCGCATTTGCCCATCACATGTTTTTCTCTTTGAATGCCAAATTAAATTTTCAGCATCTTCGTGAGCGTACAACCGCCTAAATCTTGGAATAATTGGAAGATACCATGAAACTTTTGCAGGAGGACGTTTTTTACCACTCTCCTGACTACAATCATCACCATCCTTCGTTTTGTAACGTGATACACCACATGTTGGACATTGGTCTAAAGATGAGAATTCTTTCCTGTATAACACACAATCATTAGGGCAAGCATGTATCTTCCTATATTCTAAACCCATCGGACATAGTATCTTCTTCGCTTCATACATACGGTCCGGCAAGGTGTTATTGTCTGGGAGCATCTCTTTCAAAAGTTGGAGTAATTCATTAAAACTTGTATCACTCCAACCAAATTTTGCTTTTAGATTGACCAATCTTAACACAGATGACAACCGTGTGAAAGTTGTACATCCGGGATACAAAGGTGTCTCTGAATCGGTCCTCAATGTATCATATATAGATGCATGTGCTTCAAGAAAGCTCTCTTGACCCACATCACAAAGCATGTCCTCTATTCGATCTTCGCAGGTTACATCATGCTCAATATTTTGTGATACTATTGGAATATCAACCACTTCACCGTGCCATGTCCATATGGTGTAATTCTTCATCATCCCATCGCAAATAAGATGCTCCCGCGTTGTGTCCATCTCTTGTACTCTGCCATTTACACAATTAAGGCATGGGCAGTAGATTTTTCCATTCATTTTGGGAGCATTTTGTTCGGCAAATTTCAAAAAGGATTCAACTCCATTCTCATACTCTTCTGACATACGACTTGCATTGACCCAAGTTCGATCCATCTAACTACACAAAAAGGCTTGCCTAGATATTCAAGGTTTATTAGAAAAGGTTTAACAAAACAATACAAAAAAAACGTGTACATTGCCTAACAATGCTCTAATGTTCCATACATGCTCTAATGTTCCATATACCACTTCGAAACCTAAACCTAAACCTAAACCTAAACGAAACCTAATGTTCCATATACCACTTCGAAACCTAAACGAACCTAGATCAAATCAAACCATATATACAAAATCATCCATCATCTTTCTAATGTTCCTCCGTAGGAAATGCTCTAAATAATCCATATTTATGTTAAATGCATGCTGTAAATCATCCATACAACTTAATCTAACCTGATGAGAGCGCGGCGAGTGGGCGCGAGGGGCGCGAAGGCGGAGCACTGCGGTGAGGACTGAGGTAGCGAGACCACAGCGAATGAGGTAGCAGCGCGAGTGGGCGGCGAAGGGCGGCGAGAGGCGAGCGAGGGCGGCGAAGTGGGCGGCGAGGAGCAGCGGTGAGGACTGAGGCACAACGAAGAAGAAGCGAGAAGGAGGGAGTATGTGGGACGAAGAGGAAGCGAGACGAGGGGCGCGTGTAACCCCCTTACAGATTACATTTATTAATTCTAATTTATTATCTAAGTTAGTAATATTTTCAATATTCATAGAAGGTTAATAGAAAATATACTAAGTGAACAATTAATTTAGGTAAGGTTTTATATTAAATCAAGCAACAAGTTCTAGTACAAAGTTTTCAAAATATTACAAGTCATGAAGTTATACTTATATGTTATACAATTCCCAGCCTAAGCTCTGGATTTTTGCATCTGACATCTATCTCTTGGACTATATATTCCTGCATCATACGTCACCAACATCTGGGATTGAAATATTTATGGGGTTAGACATTTAATTTTATCCACAACAAATAAAGCAAACATTCATACGATAAAATCAACCAATGAAAAATTCCTTCTAATAAATATACAACAGTATATAATTTAATTTAAAAATTAATTATGAGAAACAAATAAATAAATCATGGAATTATAATAGAGAATATCGTACAAATCATGAATAATTTACAATTTTATCATGCAATATGTTTATGATATGCACATGTGACTCCAAACGTAAAACTTTAAAATCATGCTTTTGACTCAAAATAAAAAATTATTTTTGACTCGGTGCTCCATGGAGACTCATTTGAGTGTCTAGTGGAACCAGAGCTTAACATCACCCTGTCCAGGTGATTCGACGATGTCCCACTAAACGCGAACAAGTAGACAGTAGTCGAGTGTCGAGTGCACCGACAGGCTACCACGACACGAGAATCAAATAAAGACCGGCCACTTATGGAATTGCCCATGCCCAAACACTCCATAGACCAGAGGTCCATCCCCATAGACCAGGAGGTCCTGTCTTACCTATTCTACTCCCCCATTTACTATAAGAGATTCGGTAGCTCAATTTTTAATAATTCATTCTCTGTCTCATTTGGCCAGCCATTTTCATAGTCATATTTCACTACCGAGATGCTCTTGATAGTAAATTGACTCACGAGAAAATGTAAAAATTCTGTTTTACACATCATTATTCCTACCAACAGTCCTTGGTAGCAACTTAAGAGAAATTTCCAAATACTTTTACTGTAAAAACTTTTACGTGACTTCTAGAAAACATTTCATGCACTATGTTTATGTCTCATATGAAACAAAACAATCTATCATCAATTAAATACTTAAAAACATCTCCTTCATATATTCAAAATTTTAATTACAATTCATAGTTGTTTTAAGCAAGACAATTTTTATTAATAATTTATTTCATAGGGTTCAGTGTTTTGTCCATATCTTGAGTTCTAGACCTCATTTTAAGATGATTCCAATTGTGTTGGAAAGATAACATAATAATCTATAACTTTGATGAAGGCACTATCCTCAAATTCTAACGTTTATTGAGTCGTTTTCCTAGTAAACAAAGAGGGGTAATATCTTGTTTGAATTTATTTCGATTATACCCTTAACCTTTTTCAAAATTCCATTTATGTCCCTAATATGTGAAATGACTATTTTACCCTTGATCTTTTGCAAAAATTCTCACCTAGTCCTTTCTTCTTCCTTTTCTCGCTCAAGCGAGTATCACCGGTCGCTTGAGCGAGATGGAACCGAGAGTCTCCTTTTGTTTGAAGGCTTCGTCGCTCAAGCGAGTACATCGGTCGCTTGAGCGAGTAATGACCCGAGAGTCCCCTTTGTTTGAAGCTTTCGTCGCTCAAGCGAGTACACTTGTCGCTTGAGCGAGACATGACCCTTAGTCCCCTTTGTTTGAAGCTTTCTTCGCTCAAGCGAGTACACTTGTCGCTTGAGCGAGACATGACCGTTAGTCGCTCAAGCGATGTAATTATCGCTTGAGCGATAAAGAACCCGAGAATCCCAAATTTTCCAGGTATCCTCGCTCAAGCGACATATTTTTTGCTTGAGCGAGTTTTGCAGATTTTCATCAAAATCCAAGTTTCAAATTTCTCAGTTTCAATCACTCAAATTTGTTCCAAATCAAAATTAAACCATAAATATGTTCAATTTAAGTTAAAAACAACAATTTTATTATATAATTCATCCTTAATTGAAAGAATTTCAACAATATTTCAATCTTTGCAATTGATGAATAGTAATCTCCAATTACAGACTTTCGTATGAATAAAACTAAACGTCTAACCCATACCTGATTCCTCAATATCTTATTACTCTCCTAATTTTGTATGCTCCTCCTTTCCTCCTTTCTCTCGAATTCTTCTTCCAAGAATTCTGGTGTCTCTCGGTTTATTCTTCAAGTTGGTCGTGAATTGTGTTGGTGTATGTTTCCAGTTTCCTCCTATTTATAAACTCACTCACAGACTTAATTCTTTCTAGGATTTTCTTCGCTGTCTTTATTCTCCACCGCCTTAATTTAATTGTGATTCTTCACGAGCTTAATTCAAATGTATTTAGGCCACCACAGACCTTCTGTTTCTCTCTTCTTCTTCTTCTTCTTCTTCTTTTTTTTTTTCTAAATATTTATTTACTCATTTATTTAATTTTTATTATTAAGAATTATTATTAAATTATTATTTGACACAATATTAACCTTGGATTTTATTTTATAATTTTCTTAAGACAAAATTACTATAAAAATCATGTTTTATTTTAATAACTCTACATAATATTCGAGTACATATTTATAACTTACAAAATTTATTTATATAATTGATTACAAAATTTAGGATATTACACAGTAGCGCCTAGGAGGAGAGGTATAAAGGACATTCAACATCGGTTATTAAAAAACCCGACGTGGATAACGCTTTCGACGTCGGGTAAATCATGTAACCGACGTTGATTTTGGGAATTCAACGTCGGTTATACATAACCGACGTTAAATTTAAACATTTAACGTCGTCTGTCATATAACCGACGTTGAATTGCAGTTACTACGTCGGTTATTATATAACCGACGTTAAATTTTGTTTCATATTTACAAGTTTGCCACCGCATCTTGTACAATGTCGGTCTTCGTCATAACCGACGTTGGATGCTGTCGTAGAAAGTGTTTTCTGTAGTAGTGTATTCTTGCTAACGACGAGTTGACTAACGATTCTCCGATCTAGGTACCTAGTCTGCCCTGCCCTATAAGTAAGAAAGATCAGACTAGAGGACTGGCTTCACTGTTCTAATGCCGAAGGGAAATCACATTGTCATTTTATTCTGCTTTCATTTCTGATCTGTCTTCGGACATATCAGTACCAGACCAGCTTAGACCAACTTATCTTCTTGTAATGCCCCCGGGTGTTCACTCATTATAAGCTAGTTCGGAGTTTATTGAGACAGGAATCCCAGAGTCAGCTCACCTTTTTTTTATGAAAAACTCTATATAAAGGTAATAGCCTTAGTTAGTTACTACATCAAAGTCATCTTTCTCTCTTATCTCGTTCCTGTCTTCCTTTCCTGAGTCAGTAGTAAGGAATGGAGTAGAGGGGTGACCGATTCTCTTAGTTGACAGTTAGTAGCTGTTAGTGGTCAATCAGTTGCTAGTTTCCCACAGGGCATGAACGCAACTAAGAAAAAGACTTTCCCCTTTCCTCTCCTGTGAGTCGAGATCTTGAAACCTTCAGTGAATGGATGGCGCATGAGATTGAGATAAAGAAAACAGAATTACGATTCAAAAGTCGTAAGAAATGCGGTTCCTACACTCGATTTATCGACTTCGAAAAATTATTATTCGGATGACCGGCTTTAGGTACGTAGTCACTCAAACGATAGAGATAGGACTGATACCTACTTAGAATTGATTGAAATACAAGAACTTTATTGGGAGGAAGTCGTCGGGACTATTTCCTAATGAAATCCATGTGTTAAGCAAGGTTACGATCAAAGTGAAGATATAACATCTACCTCTAGGACGTTACTGCCTTTCTTTCCAATAGAAGAAGCCAACTTCTTATTGTAGTGTAGGCTCAATAGGATTGTGCGGATAGTGGAAGCCTAGGATCCTTGTTACAGTTGGATGTAGATGGGGGTGCATGCAGGAAAGAACCCTTACTTGGAGTGGAGTAAGGGGTACTTGTGAACAACTGTCGGGTCTTCGTCGATCCGATACCTAGAGGAGACAGCCTTCTACTATCAACTCATACTATCAGATAAGGGTCTACTACAGCTGAGACTGAAAAACATGAATTCAAAATAGACAAGAGTGGGACTGCCTTAGCTAACAGTGAGACCCGTGATCTACGACCACCCTGAGGGCATGACTCGAAAATTAAGTGGAAGACTTTATCCTCTTATTTATGTTACGCATTAGGGTCCTTCACATAATCTCGAACCGTGCCCCTTCCTCAATGAGTCACGAGCGAGCCATGCCACATTGCATGGGAGGAACTGATCCTTCACTTCCCTTTTGAGCTTTCAATTCTATTCTAGACCGCTTGATATCATATCTTACCAGCCCCACCCTGGTGGCTTCCGCATCACCCCCAGTTGCTCCATTCTGGATCCCTGAGTGATAGAATAGCTATAAGCTAGCCCACCCTCACCTTGATGAGTTTCACTAAGAAACCGGGGGGTGCCTATGTGACTCACATAGGGCTCTTCCTTACCAAGCAGAGTGAGGTTAGAAACTCCAATTTTGTGATAGGACTGACCCTAGTGAGAACCAGCCTATCACGCCACCGAGGTTCTGCCTCGTTTGCCTTAGTCTTGCAATCTAAGGGTGAAGGAGTCATCCAGCCACCAGGATTGGTTACCCAGTTGACCCCTATCTGTATCTACATCTACGTCCTTGTAGACCCCTAATTTTGCCCGGCTTCTTAACTAAAAGAAAAAGAGACCTCTCATAACAAGATAGAGTTCACTAAGTCACCCGACAAAAGCTAAGGAGACTCCCTACATGAAGATAAAGCTCGCCCAGCATCTTAATGAAGGCCAAGAAGACTTCCTATATGAAGATAAAGCTTCAACGGACGCATATCGACATCAACCAATGTCCAAAAAAAGCAAGGAAAGCTTCCCAGGGTCCCAGAACGCAAAAACTGGACAAAACAGGTCGAGACCACCGTCCCAGAGTTGGGACGGCCGTCCCAACTATCCTAGGACAAGTGAGATGCGCGTCCCAACCGTCCCAAGTCCCAGGGGGGCTGGCTCTGTGTAAAAAATTCAAGTGGGACGGCCGTCTCGGCCCAGACGGCCGTCCCAAATGCGCCAGGCAGCGAAAACTATAAATAGGAGGCTCATTTGCTCATTTTCCACACACCAGACAAGTCAGAGCACTTGTCTACTTCTATCCCTCTTTCGAATGATCTTTCTGATTGCCTTATATAGGTAACAATCAGTTAAGGAATTATATTCCGGCATTCGATTCTTCTAGAAAATTTTAGTCAAGTCGAGTTTTGTCGTGAGGAGAGTCGTTGTAGAGCGAGGGACTGCCGAAACGCGTCCTTATTGTAACAGAGTTGCTATATAAAGCTTGCTACGGAGGTTCTTTCCAATTCTCTTCTTTTTACTACTTTATTTATTGCTTTATATATCAAATGTAAATAAAATCATGTAGATAGCCATATTTAAATATTATGCGAATAAAATAGGGTAATAGCGTAATTTCTTGTAATCTTTACTTAAATGAATTAATCCGTCATAGGGAACCCAAAAGGGGCGTTGTGGGGTGCTAACACCTTCCCCACACGTAACTAACTCCCTTACCCAACTCTGGTTATAATGGCCAAGTGCGGTTTTTCTAAAAATCAACATTTTTTCCTTTTCCAATGTTTAAGGTTAAAACATTGGTGGCGACTCCAAAAGAACCTTTTTTCGAAAACCTTGCTTCTATTAGAGGATAGTTCAGTTGTTGAGCACCTCGGAAGCAATGAACATATTTTAAACATAAAACGCGAGTCTAAACCATCTTTCTGCAACCGCTCGCATTAAACGTTCGAGATGTCCCTAGACGTCGGAACGGACGGCGGCGACAGATGGCGACTCCACTGGGGAAGCTAGAGAGTTGATCCCATTTAGTGACGGATAAATTCAAACTAAGTAAAGATTTGAAATTACGCCTTTACCCTTTTTTGTATTTTTTGTATGGCTTTAATAATTGATGTATGATTATTTTTACAAATTGTTTGAAATATAAATTGCACACAAAAACCCTTGCACACAACAGTCCCTCTATACCCAGGGGCAAGAGTGAATACCTATAGGGAGTGGGTGGCAGATACGACCGGCTTGTTGGCACACGGGTGGCAGATACTTTTGTAACAGGTTTTTAACTGATATGTTTTCGAAATAATCGATTGTTTTCATTAGAAGGATTTTTGAAAACCTTCTGCCAGTATTTTAACTGATATAGAATTGATATAATCGATTAAAATGACTTAGAATATTTTGAAAAGTGTTCTGGCAGAATTTTAATCGATACAAACTCGAAATAATCGATTAAAATAACTTGAAGTGTTTTGAAAGTTGTTTTGTCGAATTTTAATCGATACAAATGCGAAATAATCGATTAAAACAACTAAGAGGTTTTTCCAGAATGTTTTAATCGATTAAAACAAACTTGCTATCAGTTAAAATAATTTAGAAAGTTTTATGAAATCTTTTGGCAGAATTATAATCGATTAAAATGCGTTTCAATCGATTAAAATAACTAAGTGAACTTTTTTTCAAAGTGTTTTAATCGATTAAAACAGATTGTTATCAGTTAAAATCACTTAGAAAAGTTTATAAGAATGTTTTGCAGTATTTTAATCGATTGAAAGACGAAACAATCGATTAAAACAGTTTGGAAGATTTTTTACAAAGAGTTTGAATTGATATAAACGGTGTCGTATCAGTTAAAACAAATCTGGAAAATAATCAACAACTTTTTAATAGATTAAAAGATTATTTTAACAGATTAAATAAACCAGCAGTTTTGAAAATCTTCTATATAAAAAAAATTGCTTGAACCTTTTGAAACACATCTTTTAGCAATCAATCAAGCAATCATAAGTGCTACTTTCAAGAGAGAATCACACTAGTTTTTTGAAGTTCATAGAAGTTCTTTCTTGAGGCAAAATTGCATTCTTTTGGAGAAGAAACACATACTGCAAAGCTACATAAATCTGGTTTGAGCGTTCTAAGTTTCTTCTATTTGTTTCTTTACTTTCTTTACTATATTGTGGGTGCCTAGAATTATGGGCACTGGTTTTTGTAGCTGGAATTTGGCTACAGGGTTGGTCAAGAACTGAAATTTGGTTCTTGTGAAGGTTTAGGTGCAGGAACTGGAATTGTGGTTCTTGTGGTAGATTGAGTGTGAGATTAAAGTTGTAATCTGTAAAACATTCAATCTAGTGGAACCCAGCTGGAATTTGGCTGGAGACTGGACGTAGCCCTGGGATTGGGTGAACCAGTATAAATCTTGGTTGTATCTTTCTAAACCTTTCTCTCCTTTAATTCTGTCACTACATTTATTTTTGATTGCTTGTTGTGTGTGATTCAAGAACTGGTCAGAAATCTTAATCTTTGAAATAGATAATCTGTAAATTGCGAAAATCTTTCAAAGATCAATTCACCCCCCCTCTTGACCTCAGCCTACATTTCTAACAATTGGTATCAGAGCAAGGTTCTTGAGAATTATTCAAGTCTTTCGATCCAAATGGCTGGAAATAAATTTTCTAAGGGTGCTTGTATTGATAGACCTCCACTGTTTTGTGGTACATATTACTCTTTTTGGAAGATTAGGATGAAGATCTTTATTGAATCTGTTGTTGTAAATGTTTGGAATATCATTGAACAAGGAACTTATGTTTTTAACAAAGATTGGTCTAGCTTAAATGATTGTGAAAAGAAACTAATCTAAGATGATTGTATTGCTAAGAATATCATCATATCTGCACTTAACAGAAATGATTTTTTCAGGATAGCACATTGTCAAACTGCTGCACAAATGTGGAAAACCCCTGAAATGGCCTATGAAGAAACAACAGAGATATGCTTGATGGTAAATTCGGATTCTCCAATGACCAGTGTAAGTTTTGATTCAACAACTACTATGAATTATAGTTCATTACAAAATTCTTTTTATGAAATGCATGCAGTAGCTAAGAAATTAGAAATTGAAAACAAAAGATTAAAAAGCATGAATAGTTTATTAGAAAACAAGATCACTCTTCTTGAAAAGAAAATAGTTGATGAAGAAACCAAGAATGAAAATCTGGAAATAAGTAATAACTCTGATTGCATGTGTAATGATAAAGATTGTAAAAATTGTCCTGAGTTACAAGAGAAATTAACATATTTAATAAAAACTGCATCTAAACTTGCACAAGGAAAAACTAATCTTGATATGATACTTGATTCTCAAAAATTGGTTATTGATCGTGGTGGTATAGGCTTTACACCTCTTGTTGGAAAGAAAACGAGAGCATTTAAAAACTATTTTGCATATAGTAAATCTCTTTCATCTCCATTTATTAAATGCTTTTACTGCATGAAAAAAGGCCATTCTGTTAAATATTATAGAATTAAAAAATATGCTATTCCTAGAGGTAGAATGAAGTGGATTCCCAAAAATTCATTTCAAATAACCTGATTGGACCCAGTGATTATAAAAAGGGTACCAGAAATATGCTAAATTTGTTTTGCAGGAACAAAATCTGGAAGTCCCTTAGTGTTCAAAATAGCAAATTCGGTTCTGGTTTCATAAACTGAATGTTTTAATTGATATAAAACAGTTTTAATCGATTAAAATCACTTACAGAGAATACCAGAAAAGTTGTCCGTACAGTTTTAATCGATTGAAATATGAATCAATCGATTAAAATGTTCTCAGGAATTTAGTCTAGTTGTTTTAATCGATTAAAAAGGATTTATATCAGCTAAAATCACTAAGATGTCAAAACTAATCGATTCTTTCTCGTTTTAATCAATTAAAATTCTGTTATCACATTATTGAATTCTTCCAGTACAAAATTAATCGATTTTGTTATGAATTAATCGATTATTTCACTGTTTCTTTTTCAAACCTAGTATTAAAGATCAAATTAATAGGTTAATTTGTTTATTAATCGATTAATTTGTTCCTGAAAATTATTTTTACAACATCCAATTGAAAATTAGTCAGCAAATCAGAGTCAAAAATCCAAGTTTTTGTGTTAATCAAAATCTGCATAATACATTTATTGCATCTGTTGACCAAGTCAAAAATTTATCAAAGAACAAAATAGCTGATGTACCCATCGTCCAGAAACCTGTGTCTCTATCTTTGGTAAAGGGGACAATTGCATTTAAAGCTGAAACGTTGCAGTTTTGTCTCTTTGGATTTGAAATCCGATCTTCATCAAACCAGGTTCTGTATTTACCCAATCATTTCTCAACTTATCATCTTTCTTCTGTTTTCATATTTTCAAAATCTCCTCTCGAATCTCTGCTACAAACATGTTCAAAAGATCAAAATCAAGGAAGAAACAAAAGGGAGAGTCTTCCTCTGCTGGAAATCAAGGAGGTTATCTTGAAAATTGGTTCAGTGGTGATATAGAAAAGATGAATAATTTCATCACTCATTTCAGTCAAAAGCAACTTGTAATTCCCAAATTCATAAGGTTTGCTTGGCTAGATGAAGAAGGGTTCAATTCGTTAAGAAGAAAACTGAACAATCAAAAACTGAAGAATTTTCTGGAATATACTGGCAACATTCAACCAGATTTGGTAAGAGTGTTTTATGCAAATCTCACTGTCAGTGGTTCTACTT